CATCTAATCCTTTTGGTGTGATGCGAACCATATATTAAAGGACGAATTCACGATGAAAAAGCAACCCATTTCAAATTAACCTAGGGATGGTGAGTGGTACACGAAAGAAGGAAGAACCATGAGAAACGGCCCAGAACCCGAGAAATGGACCCCTTCCTTGCCCGTTGATTCGAGCATTGATGCGACTCTCATCGCTGTGCCCTCTTCAACACTACGCTCTCTCAGCTATCTAATCACTCGCCACGTATTGAACTACGGCGAGTGATCAGATGATCGGTGGGCGGAGATCGCCGGACCCGCCAGCTTTGAGGCATGATAGGTCGCCGAGGTCAAATTTTTCCAATTGGGTGCAGTTCGCAACAAGGAGGGCCTGTCCCTACTAAGTGGCAGATTTCAGTTTGCTTCGCTCAATTCTAATGCGTCGAATCCTTCTTTAAGTGACGACCCTCCAAATGAATCTGGTGATTCTGTGGTCCACGTCACTGTGGGGGCGTGGCCCGGGTCACGGTACCAAAGGAGGCTGGCGTTGGCTAGCCGGGGCTCGACAGTGATGGTCCAACCCTGACCATACTCACCCCGCTCTTCTACCCTGTTCTTTACCTACCTATTATGTCTAATAAATATGTATAGCCTCACCATCTTTTTTATATAACATACCGCTACACACATTCAGATATAGGCGTCATGAACCTATAATCTGATATGGAGGTCCGGAAAGATAATTTTTTCACTCGCTATAATTTTCTAATTCCACTGGTACCAAAAAACAAAAGTTTATAAGGGATTAAACTTTGTTATTCAAAATACCCCCCCCCCTCTACCTACCCCTCTTCGTCTGATAAGTCGACAGATCAGAGAAGCGCTGAAATCGGCATTCAAAGCAATCAACTGGTTATACGTTATCATTTTTTCTTGCTTTCATCTTCTTTATCAATTTGTGAAAATACTGTTAAAAAATTGAAAAAAAAAACACAAAGGGAAGGGGACGCTCTTCCTCTTTTCTTCGAATTGGGTATAGTTTTATGTTGAATTAGGAAATGTATAAGTTACATTATTAAACAAGTAGTATAAAAGTCCTGGCGACGAGATCCCCTTTCACGGCTACCCATATCTCACCAATAGAATTCACAAACGTCGAAATCAGTGCAGTAATTAGTGAACCATAAATTTATTTCGCGTGATAGGCCCTTGCTGCTTGGCGGACAGTTGATAGTGCTGAGTCGCAGTCCCAGCCTCGCCTACGGTTTCCTTTAGCTTTCTTACCTCGAAGACTAACGGTACGAAACTTAACCTTCAATCCAGTCTTTGAGATTCGTCTTAGTTTTTCCAGACAACACGGGCACAGTCCTGCTGTTAGTCTGCTGCGTTCACGGGTTTTCCGCGATTATTGCCGTGCTTTTAGACGTCGTAGTACTTATATCGATAATTAGGTTATCTAAGATAGCTTCGTTGAAACACCTTGGCCCAATATTTAGAACCCTGTAGTTACATCATTGCATTCAGTTATTGCCGCTTAATTTATGTTTTGAAAGGACTCGCTCGCCACTTAGTCGACTAAAAATAAACAGCAGACTTTGACGACCTATAGTCAGAACGCTGTTGTGGTACCAATCAATGAGAATTAGCTACTCTCACTAACCCTTAGGTTGCAGAAGGTACTATGCACTACAGACGGGCAATAAGTTCCGAATAGCTAATTGCGCTATTGCTCTAAGCGATAGCGCTGCGAAACATTACCTCTTCTGGGATCTGCGAGAACAGTAGTGATGCTAATAGAAGATAGCACGCGCGAACAAAATTATTGCGCAACCGCTCTGGCGAGGCCGCATCTGTTGACCTATAGGTGAAACATATTACATCAGAGCCGTTTTGCAACGGATATCTGTGCGTTTATTGCGCAAGGCTGCTCACTTGAGCAGACGGCGCTGTTTACCGGTCCTGGAAAGGATTACAATGAGTTGAAAAGATTTTACAAGGTCCTCATTCGTGACGTACTTACGACATGTCAAACCGAAAGATATGAGTTAGGATTGAACATGACCCTATTGTGGTTGCTTGAGTCATAATCTCTGCGCATGTTGCAAGCAATACCGAATTAATGAGCATAAGTGTACAATTTTTGCAAGTTCTCAAGCGAAGACCGGCGCCATAAAATGGCTCGGGTCAGCGATTAATAACCCTTCATGGTGCTTACCCGGAATAAGTGGGTCACTATATTGCATATGTTCGAGAATTTTCAAAGATATTCAACCTTGCATATAAATGAAACTCAGTTTAGGATAATATAAAACACTAGCATGACAAACATACAATGAATTTAACATTGTATGCCATGCAATATGAATGCAAAGAGTAATACAGATTGTCTTATTCCATATTCTTTCGCATCAGAATATTTCATAAAGAGAAACAAGCGAAAAAAGTTTACAAATTGTTGTCAATTCAACCCATTTCGCATGTTTTTATCTCACAAAATAGCGAAAAAATTCAAATAATTCCGAAACGGCACATGCAAAAAACCAATTCAGTATTCAAACGTAACTCACATAACAAACTTGAACTAATTACTTCTAGTTCAAACGGTCGAACGAAAGTTAAAAACAACAAAACAGGTTGTGAATCAGAAAGATAATTCGAATAAGTAAGCAAACTCAGAAAAAAAGAGAAAATTCAAGTGATAAGAACCTAGTAGACTAATTCCGCATGTTAGCATTTCGTGGTGTTATTTTAACGTTTTCGCTCATCCACACAACTCTCATCCACCCTGTCTTTCCTTCTTTCTTGCCAAACTTCCCATCTTTCCGTATGAAAACCTAACCTTTCCACTGTAGAAACCGTGTGTTTTTATCAACTTCCCTTCAAGCCCCTTCGTTTTCATCAACCCCGTAACCATTTCGACTATTTTTTCTCACTGGAAGTCTTATTAACATGTTTTATGTGCATCTGCACATAGAACTCTACCGTAATCTAATCACGCGCCAACTAGGAAATTCAATTATTTTGCGAGAGCGCTAAACTAAGTGATATGCTGTGCAATTGAACACGCCGCGCAAAATACAGTAATCGTACGCCTAATTTAATTCGGCAAGCGAGTGCCACATAGGATTTTTAGGGAATGACATATGAAGAGGTGACGAGTTCCCGCCTTTGTATCTATTGAGTGAAAAAATTTGTCCGTATTTTAGCAGTAGATTTGAGGGAGATTTCCTCTTCCTATCACTAAAATATTTACAAAAATTTTTCATACAATTGATATCAGTGGGAACATTTGGTTCAAAAACCACAGCAACTTTCATTTTCATTCATATAATGCCCACGCGCGACGCTTATGGCTTTGCGAAAGATGCTGTCTCAGTTTTTCTTCTTCAATTTCGGGCTGGCTGAACCACCGTTAAGGGGAGCGAAATCAAACGTTAATAAAAGCAAGTTCAAAGTCAGTGTTGACTAGCCGTTCTAACATGACGTTGTGACTGCGATGAGCCATTCCAGCTGTTACACAAATACCCACTAATGGTAAGTATGGTTTTGACCATTCTTCATGGTCTGTCGCCATAAGGGAGAATATAGGGAGAGGTGGGGGAGAAGGGGAGAGTGAAGTCAACCGTCAACAAACCCGGGCTAAAAATCAGTGTTGAGGTTCCTTCCAAGGAGGTTTCATGATTGGAATGAGACTTTGTCACTATAAAAGACCCATTTTGTGCTTACGCTTCCCCTCCAGGAGCTGTCGACCTCAAAGTGGCAGGCGCAAAACATAGGCAGAGAATCAGAAGTCGTGACGGCTGCCGCGGAACAGGACTGATTATCTCATATAACAACAGTGTAATTTTTATAGAATATTTTGCGATATTTCGCAAAAAATTTGATGAAAGATTTTGGCGAAAATATAGAAAAAAAGTAATGATATGCTTTGTTTCAAGATGTGCGAGCAGGTGCGTCAGGAGCTGGGCATGAACGCACTAGCGTTTTCGCGGCGACATCCTTTCTCATGTTGGTTGTCTTCTATGTTGATGTGCTTCGCTGGTGGATTTCTCGCATGTTTTTTACTTGGCGAACCAGTCATAACACCGTTTCGGAGGCACGACGATGTTATTTTGGTTAGTTTCGTTCCATCCCATCCAAAACGTTGAAAGTTGATGATACTTTGCATTTGTGCGGTAAGCTATAACGCTGCTTCTGTGTGCTAGCTAACTTCAAACAGTAGCATTAATTGTCACACTTACAGGCTTCCATCGTGTGGTATTCTGTTTTCTACTCACCCTTCGATTTAGTTCACAAAGTGGTCAGCATCAAGCTAGTAGGAGTATTAGTATGCGTTGTCAAAGAAGTGCAACGAGCTCATAAGGTACTTTTAAGAAATTTCTGTTGGAACTTTATATGGTTCTTTGAAAAGCTGAGCTGGGAATGGCATTCTTTTTGTTTGAAATTAATTTGTAAATGGTGGCTCCTTTTGTTTTTCGTGCTCGAAATTTGCAAAATCGAATTTTTGTATTTCACCGGTGCGGTACGCGGCATTGAATTATCATAGCTTCATCAGCCCTGGTTCAATAGAAGTTTGTTATTGTCATCGCAAAGCGATAAGTTTGTATGATATAACGCTGTCTTCAGATATCTCATGGTGTCGCATATGCAACGAAGTTGTATTCGGAATCCTATATGGTTCGTATAATGTATGCTATACGAAGTTATGGTCAAGAATTGGAAGATGTGAAGCAGGTAATGTTTCAATTCGCTTTCCTGTGCTTTCTATCATAAGGGAACCTTGTGTTTAAGAATTCAAGCAGCTATCTCCAATTAGTCATTTATTGAATAATTGATTGTGAAGCCGGGAGAGTTCCGTTTGAAATGTAATTTAGAATTGCTTGGCTAGTGTCACAAGTGCGCCATTTTGATGTTTTCATGTAACCGAAAAGGCATTATTCAGGTTGTAAGAGGTTCTTGGGTTCCTTCTCAACATGAAATGTTGCGTCCATCATTTACGACGAAGGCATGTGTAGTAGCTTCGTTAGTGTTTACACTGGAAAGAAATAGTATGTATGTTACGGCTCCTCACGATCTCGTTTACTTGGTGAGTCATCTCTTTAATACATGTGCTGTATCTGAATACACAGTTTGTTTTCAGTGTGTTGTTGCATTTTTCATCTATTTCAAACTCTCCGCTCTCCTGCTTGGAGTAACGGATCCTTTTGCTCCAATTGAAAATCTTTTCTGCGCCGTATTCATGGGAGGAATCTATGATGCGCTTTACAAGTATGTGATGACATTTCGTTTTTTTTTCGTATTTTGACTTTCTTTGATTCGATCTTATGAGATTTCGTGTTGTTTTGTATTGCGAGGTACTCGCTGACTATAGAGAACCTTTTGCGATTTTTCCTTGTTTTTCTCCCTTTTTGCTCTGCATTTGAATTCTGCCTCTCATTCTGAGTCCGAGTACAGGCCATATATCGAATAGCTGCGGGAACACTCAGAACCATATTCTACTTCTGTGTTCCGTGTGTTCTTGAGCGCAGCGAATTCTCACGATCTCGACGTGGACGTGATAATTGAGTCATCATTTTAGCGTAGAGTTTTGCAGCACATAGCAAAAGTTTTTTTTTTCAAAAATTGCTGAAATCGAACCGAATGCTAGAATAGTCTCATAGAAGTTTCTCTGGGTAATACTATCAATGTTATTTAGTCTCAGGCAGGATAGTAGCGTTTCTTTGAGTGAGGGCAAAATCGTTCTTTGGTATTTTTTAATCTATATTGTGTCATTGTGTCCTATTGAACAGCGTTGTTGCGGTACTCTCGTCCTCAAAGTTACCTGCCTAGATAGTTTGATACCCAGTGGATCGTTGAAGGTGAGATGCCATGAGTTTGTTTGTAAAAAATAAGGATAAAGGATAAAGCATTTGCCGTTGATCAATCCCTTTTTGGGATGCGGCACGCATTCTACTTCCATTTGTACATTCGCAGTGGCGTTTGAATGCGATGTGGCCTATACAATGACTTGCGGGGCCAGCCGATGTACAAGTCAGTGTTTTTATCCTCCCAGACAAGTCTGGTACCAATTAACCGACCCCGGAGGGATGGAAGGCTTGGTTGGCCCGGGCGACTCACGACCCAGGATTTGATCCCGGACCGCTCGCGTGGTGAGCGCGCCACTTGTCACTACACCACTTCCGCCCCAAACAACATATAAATAAATGAGAAAACTCAACAGATCGACCAATTCTTGAAACGGCGACAACTAGTCTGTTACTAATCGAGGGCTGATGCAGCGTGCATTTAGGAGAGAAAAAGAACCATGGTGTTACAGTTCTAATTCAAATACATTGCTAAAGTAAACGGATGTGCAGGCTATTGGGAGCAGGGACATCCAAATGTCACACATGCTGGATCCCTCAGCAAGTGCAGTACCATGGCCTCTAAGGACTCTTGTTACGAAGTGACCAGTGATTACGCGTAAGGGCATGCGTCGTATTCGGCGAGCTTATGTCACTTCTTCTAGTTGTTTATGCTTATGTAAATTTGAAATTGTTTCTTCGTCACCGCCTTTCTTAACCGCCGGAACACCTCGTATATTCAAAGAAACCTCACCAGAACCGATCTTGTTCTATGCTATACCTATTCTGTAAAGTACGAGTATTCATCTCGAATCAAATTTTACTATTGTTCAGAGCTGTGGATGCGACCAGAGAAGAGGCGAATTCAGGAAAGAAGAAACTTGATGACGATCTTGTCGATGATAAGAAGTGGAAGAAGAACGATAAAAAGACCAAATAATCCTCTTCGAAGAATGGCCAAGTTCAGTATTTAGTGTTGTGCTGTGTTTGCAGAAACGACTAATCCTTTACTGCCTTTTATAATCTCATGCTTAAAACGCTTAGATTTTTGAAAATTGCGCACTTTTGCGTTATGTCTCACATAATATAAAATATAGGTCTCAAGCAGTAACTTGATGAATTTTATTGAAATGCTTGACATTACCGAGATCTGATTTGTTTGATAAGTGATCCATTACACCCAGTGTCTAGTCATAGTTGATTTCCATGTTTTAGTCTTACTCGATGCACTGTTTTAAGCGGATATAGCTTTACTATGCTCAATTTTAGAGCTGGCATTAATTAACTTGAAACCCCTTGTTTGCTGTTTGTGGAGTTTGAGTTGCTCTTACGAGTCGATTGTGATACTCTTATACTTTGTTATGAAAGGCATTTCTCAAGTTGTACCACTAGCGTTTGGGTTCTTCACCCCTATGAAGTCATATATATGTAGAATAAATGCTTCTGAATAATAAGGTGTTGCTACAATAGTGTCAGTCGCTTAAGATATCTCTTCTACCTCTTCTTAGTTGAAGTTGACTTGGTGTCACTGCAAGTGGTTGCCTTTATCTTAACCTGCGTCACCCAATATGCATACCTTTGAATTTGGAATTTTTTTTAATTGCCGGTGGTCGAGATCCTTTTCTTTTTTGAGATCTTCGTGCCTGTGCTAACCATCCTGGGGCGGTATTCAATCCTTCCCCCAGGGGGATATATCCCCCTCCTCTGATTCAATCCTCTGGGGGGACAAAAAAGGGTTGCGTCATAGGACCTAGCATACCTCTGTGTTTCTACCTGCCAGACAGTTAGAGCAGCGCGACTACCCTCCACTGATGA